AGTTCATTATTCAATTTTCTTGTAAAATCATGTTTATTTTTAAGTTTTCCTTTCAGAAATTTCAACGCTGTACTTATGTCTTAAAATAAAATTTTTGTGAGATTAAACTCTATGTTTTTGCACTCACTTAAACCACAGAAATTAGAGAGAATTTCACTTGAGTTTAAATTTCCCAATCGAATACGCTACGTCACTCACTTCAAATGGCCATAACTGAGCATAATGGTATTTTTCAAGTCATCATTTTCTATGCGCTCAAGTTTCGCCACATCATAAATGTCTAAATATACACACATACAAATGTACAAATAGAACTGTAAATAAATTCTATATTTTGCGCACGCTGGCTCGTATGCTTTATCCACTTGCATCGCCATTTTCAACGATTTGTCATAATTAATTTTGATGACATTATATTGACGCAGCAACAGAGTCCACCACTCACTAAACCAAATGGCAAAAGAACAACAAAAGCAGTTAGTAAAAGTAATGCAACCATTACCATTGGCAATAAGGCGAAATCAAGATTGGCAATAAGAACATCAGCTAAGTGCCGCCAGTGAAAATCGGTGATGAAAGATATGCATATACGAGTATGAAGGTATGTGTGGGTGTATTTATGAACTTTGTGGTTTCTACTGCCGCTTTAATGTTGATGGATGAAAGAAAACTCTGAATTGCTAATAAAGTTCAATAATAAGAAAGCAATAAAACGAACAATCATAAAAATTTGCATTTTGAAATTTACGAGAATGTAAGAAAATCAACAACATTGAAGTAAATATTATTATATGTAGGTAAGTGGCAAAAGCTTTAAGGATTTTAATTCAGGTTAACTGCAGATAATAACTGTGTTGTGTCGTTAATATTTAACTTATACATGTTTATATTAATGATTGACGAGGGTGGTATGATAAATCGGCCACTTCTGGAGAAAAAGTTTTTATCAAAATATACTAATCGATGATTTAATATAATGCATATCAATATTTTTTAAAGATTGTTTTGGCGATAAATCCGATATTTAAAAATTTAAATAGAAACAAGAGTAGTTTTATAAATCAATTGCTTTTGTTTTTTCTCCGAGAAAGCATTTTTATTGAATATACTAAACGATAATTTAGTAGATATGTATGTCGACAATGTTTATTTATAATTTGGTAGATTTTTATAGACATTTTGCATCAACAAATTTGATATATTTAGCCACTTCCAGTAAAGCATAGATGGGAGTACCACAAGTAGTTTGTTAGTGTATAAATTTGTAACATGATACTACTTTAATAATTCTGGCAGATCGTGACCAAGCTTTTAGTTCATACTGTTCTACGATATGGAAATAAACTCGCAGTGATCCAACTTCCATAGCATAAGCAAGTTTTTGCGTCAAATTTTGATGAATATAGTTTAATGATACTCTCTCATCACTTCTCTTTTCTGGTCGAAAAATTAATGAGTTATCACACTGAAACTTCATACGATATAGTAGGAATCCTTTACTTAATAGGGTACTTCTGAACCATAAGTGAGTTAAATTGGATCATATCTTCGCTTACGTCCAATAAAATTACTACGCTGATATACCTGAACTTGAACAAAAAGTGAAATATTTTTACTGACTTTATACTCGTCTTGTTTATTCAATTCTCTTTTTATATAAGTTTTGGTTCTTCACTACCTAAGGCAATGCTTCGTTTGTTCACATTTTCCCGATTTTTCTGAAAAATTCTGATTTTTTGCTAAGTTATATAATATTAGATCCGGCGCTTAGAATCTTTGTAACTTAAACTTTAATGAATTTTGCTAAGAGAAGATAGTTCAAAGAACTTCTTGCGTTCTACTCTGGACCAAAAGGTTTTGCTGTGGCGCAAGTGCTGATTGTTGACCAGCGCTCATTGAGCTTACGCCGAGATTAGTCGTCTAGTATTAAAACCGTAAGAGGACAATAAAATTCCGATAAGTTGAGATTCTTTACTCGTCACAAATCATGTTGCAGACTTTTTAAAGAAAAAATAATCTTAGAAAAGGAAACCTATAGCAGAAAGTATAGTAAGATCATTCAGACGCCCGATACATTATATACAGTATATTATTATTATACTTATATATGGTTACAATTAATGGATCACTAAATTTGATAGGAGTGTTGCATTTAAAGGTCTATCGTGTAACTATCAAAAACTAAGTGACTTATCGAAAGTACATTGTTATTAAATATGTATGGATTTGTGTATAAGGACAAATAAATTTATCCGCTTGAAGCAAAGCCATACCACAATAACACGTTAAATTGAGATAGAGACAGACAATAAGCTGCGCCGTAGGAGGGAGAAAAGCTAAAAAATCGCATTTTCTTAAACTGTTTGTCGCTTCCTGCTGTCGCCTTAATTTTTCCTCCCTGCTTCTTTGTATTATTTACGTTCTTATTTTCTTTCTCCTCCTCACACTGCGCGCAGTGATGACAAGCGGTTGAAAAATGCGGTTGGCAAGCCTTATAAATATGCTATGTTACAAAGTTGAAAAATAAGCGAACAGGCGAAGACACCGAAGACGCTGTAGCGGCACACAAACTGCCAGCAAATCAATGAAGTGGAAAAATCACGGCACTGTGAATGGGCTTAAAAAGACAAGCAGTCAGACAGACTGGCGGGTAGACTTTGAAATGGGCAAATCAATGTTGATTCTTACAAAGTTGCAAAGTAATTTAATTATTTAAGAAAGAAAAATGTGACTGAAGGAAAACAGGGAAATTGGATGGTTGCTATCAAAAAATTATCATTTTAATACGAAATCTATACTCAATTTTTCTGCAGTCATTAAGGTTTTGTTAATGAATTATATGCAATGAGAAGAAGAAATTCAATCTAAATTCTATGCATAAGGTGAATACGGAATTTTGAGGAATTAATTCCGGCATATTATCTAAAATATGTATATATTTTTGACCATTTTTATCCTACAGTTTGCAAAATTTAATTTGGTTTAGGTGTTATATATATGATATACATATGTATATAGAATATAATGTACTTTAACAATCGATGAAAAATTTTGAAAATTTTGGATTCTTGTTAGCCAGTTTCAAACAGGATCTGCGAAAAAAGGTGTGTAACGAAGATTTTTCTACTTAAATTTATTTTAAATCCAAAATCCAAAACAAAATTATTATTGCTCGTTGCATACAAGTAATGATAGAACCGATTTCTAACGATATAGCGCCTACCCAAAAAAGTCATTATTTGACAATGGCTTGAAAATTCGAAATTATTATCAAAAATCTTATTCCTTCTGACAATATATCTGAAAGTTCAATATGATATAAGTTTCGAAAATAAATTCATACGTAATTAAACAAATATCAAAAGTCTTTACACAGACAGTTCTGAACTGATGCACAAAATAGATTAATTTTTCAGAAACTAAACCTAGTTGACTCATATGAAATCACCGGATTTTCGACTCTTTTAAAGTTTTATATATTTTATTTTAAATCCACGACTGTAAAACATGTTTAAGGGATTTACTGCTCTGAAGTACACTCTTCTACTATCTTCTATATCTACCGATTCAGCAAAAATCCTCATGAAGGAACCTACTTTCTTCACAAACAGTTTGTGGTTCTTAAAGTATGTATGAGAACATGATTGATAATTAATTTATGACCTCTTTATCACAATCTTCCACATCACAGTGTTCTAGAGATAAATAATAAAGGTATATGAAGGCATTCTTTGAAAGTCTTGCGACTAAAACTCCACTTTGAATTTTCTGTTGGCTATACGGAGAAATGTGTGGATGTGATGGACCACTCAATCCTTTGTGCGAATTGGATATGGCATCAGTGGAGATAATTCGTTACTGAGGCTCTAAACGATGTTCAATGAAAACATTTAATGGGTAGAAACTTGACTTTTCTAGCATTTTTTATACAAAGACTGACTTGATTTTGATTGATCAGTTTGTATTGCAGCTATATGCTATAGGGGTCCGCTATCGACGGTTTCGACAAATAAGCTGTCCTTTGGGGGAAAAGGACTGAGGGACTCCTGCGCGTATATACCGACGGTAATAGAAAGTCCGTCCGTGCAAGTTGTAAAAAATTGAAATATCGTAATGAAACATGATACACGTGCTCGGGTCAATTTGTGAGATATATTATAGAAACTCAGAGCAAATCTTTATATGGCAATAATATGCCCGTGTGCCAAAAATGGGTTGAGTCGGATCAATAATTCCCTTAGTCCATAGACATAAAACCAACCGAAAAGGCTAAATTTAGTATATTGAGCTTATGTGAAAAAAGTCAGCCAGAGGGTCGGATTTGATGATATTAATATTTATGTCAGATATATCTTATTTGAAAATGATTTTATTAAAATTTTCGCTGATGGGAAGTAAAAGTTATATAGTTATGAAACTAATTGAATCTTTGACCAAAACAAATAAGTTAATAAGATACAAATTAGATTTTAAACTATTTAATTACGTCAAAATGTTTCTTGATAATATCTTTTACGTCTTAAGCTTTTGAAATCGGATCAAATATTTTATAACCAGAACAGACTTTAGAGATAAATGAGCAATCATTTGGTACATGATCTTGAGAATTAGAAGTTGTTTGAAGAATTAGGTTAAGGTATTAATGTAGCTTGGTGCCTAATATAACCAAACAAATTTTAAAAGAAAGAATCTGCATCACATATGCGCTATATTCAATGCGCTTACTAGTACTACAATGTACTTCAATTATATTACATTTCAAGCCGTTAGTTGTGGTTCTTCGCGTTGCTTTGTACTCAACCTTATATTATATTATTTGTACTGCATATTTTCAGGAGTTCCACAATGACTACTATTTTAAAACATAAAATATACTTCAAAAAGTTGAAACAATAATTTTATTACTGTACAAATGCAACACATTTTTCCTCCACTAATTATATAAATAAATTTGTATCAAGATAAAAGTGTGTATATATACAAAAATTATATGAACTTACTGTTTCTCTTTGCGTTGTTGACGCTTCTTCTTGAATGCTTTCTTAACACGCAACAGTAGAAACGCTGCACGGTCCACGGACAGTGTGGTGCTCTTCTTTGGCGGCGATGGAGCATCTTCCATTGTTCCGTTCGTTGTTTTTACTAACTCAGCTGTGAGTAAGCAGCTGGTTTATAGTCCAAGAAGGTGGTACGCCCGTAAAGCAGCGTGGGTTGATGTTGAAGGAGTGTAAGTGAAAGGGCGGTAGCGAATGAATTGCGCACTTTCAGTGCGGTAAGTGGGCAATAAGTGTTTCGAGGATGATGAGGAAAATGTTGATGGCGATACGAATGTGTCTATATTTTATTTATTTTTTTGTTGGGGTTTTTTCAGGCGCTTGTTGCAAGTTCTCTTGGGTCAGCGAGTCGATAGTTGTTAGTATTTGTTGTTTGCGAAAAGGCTGCTAGTATTATTATGAGGTGCTGTGTCCTTGCAAAGGTTTATCTGCCTTGGATTCAAGTTTTAGCGTATACTTTCTTATTTTTTGGTTGATTTTATCAATTTATTTGGTATTTTTTGTGTCTTTCGGTTTTTTACAATTTCTTTCAATTTAGTTATTTGGTAGCTTTGGCTTCTTTTGTTTTTGCTGTTTGATGACTCGGCTAGGATCTTTGGTTGGTTGGTTGCATGCTTGGCTGCGTGGCTGATTGGCGACCGGAATCTGCTCTATTTATTGCCTATTTTTTATCTCTCCCTCTAGCTTACTCTCTCTCCATACACTTCAACTGCGTTACGTGTATTTTCAGCAAATTGATTCGGTTGATTTCGTTGTTTCAGATTAGATTTGTGGCTGGCTTTGGATATAATTTGAAATAGAGCCAATTCCTAACCTATTTATAAAACCACACCTTAGCATTAACGCCTGGTTAAAGAAGCCAGTAAGCGAGATTAGAAGAGCGCAGTAGAGTGTTTATAATATGAGAGGTGGCAGCAGCGAAATCGAAGGTGATTGGAGTTGGCAAGCGCTGAATTTGCCACTCAACAGTTACAAGCGTCCATATAACCACAACAAGCTTTATTTATTCTATATCTAAACGCTTCTATCGCTTCAAATGCCAATTTTAAACCTATTTGTATACATTGTTGTCCGCTACTCGCCGCCCCGCTGCTGACGCTCAGCCATTGTCCTTCGCCACTTTCAACCGATTTACGAGCACTTTGCTCGTTAGTTATGTGAAGCTTAAATTATAAGCTATTTTATTGTTGTTTGTTGCATAAGCAAATATTCTGCATTGTTGTTGTTGTTCGTGTTTGCTATCAATAATGTTGTGGGCTGCCACTCCAACGTCAACAGATGCTTATCCCTTTACAAAGCAGCATGCGGGTTACGAGTGGTTAAATTGGTTGAATTGGTATGCCACAACATTTTTGCACTCACACCCACATACATATAAACACATACAGGCCCGTTTATTACCCGTTTGTATCGATGAACGGAGGTCGCGGTCGGGGTCGTCAGGCGTCGTCTGTCACACCAGTGAGGTCAACGTTGGCACTTGCGCCGTTATAACGACTTGTATTATTATTTTTTTGCTGTTGCAGTTGTTGTTTTATAATTTTCTATTTCTTTATCTTGTTGCTTTGGCTGAGTAAGTGCCTCTCCAGTGGTTGCTAGCTGCTTGTTGTTATTACTTTTAATTCTCTTGTATTGTTTTAATCAACTCTCGCACGCACTGCAAATACAACAAAAATAACAACTAAAAAACACATAGAAGTACATATACACTTATATTTATATATCATCATTATATTAAGCCAAGTGTGACTAAAGGTTAAGAATATAATATCCTTTCATCCATATTTCTGCTTGCTTTACATCTTGACATGGTTTCCACGTATTCTCTTCACACATCCACCCACACATTCACAAATTATGCACCACATGTGTTAAGTATGCGTTCATGCATACGTCCTCTCCATTAAAGACTACTCGTCGGCGTTAAACAATGCTTGAATATGAAATTGGAGAATGAAAGTAGCAAAAACAAAAAGGAAAATTAAACGAAAAAGTTACACGCTTGGCGTGAAAATATGCCTAAGAACTTAACCTAACTACCTAGATACATAGCGGTTTACATAAGGACAGTGGCTTATTTAGAAATGTTTTGGAAGGGAGTTATTTTAAATTTTGCTTAGAAATTTTTATTACCAGACACACTGTAAAGTTCGTATAGCTTTAAAGAAAAAGAAAATTTGATTTTGTTATTCGATAAAGTTGTTATCGGAAACGATTTAACGATTATACTATACCATTCGTATAGTTCGGTCTTGTTCTTGTTTCAAATTAGGCTTTTGTCTTTTTAAGTCGATTTAGTCATATTCTTCGGTTTGTTCATTTGTCTATATATAGGAGTACTAGTCCCTCAGTTTTTGACGTTATTAACTTTTGAAAGCATTCTGTAGAAAGAACTGTTTACATTTCTGAAATTACACCAATTGAGCTAAATATCACTTCTAACAGAAAATATGTGGAATTTTTGTTTAACATTCCTACCGTATCTACCGTTTTAGGTATCTACCCGTTTAGGTATTCACTATAAATCAGTTACCCATAAGTTAAATAAGTAACAACCTGCTTTAAAGGTTTCGTCATTTCACCTTCAAAGCCTTTTTAGGTCAATTCTATGCTCTTAAGCAATGAAGCTCTGAAAACCTCTCAATACTGTTCTGATCTTTCGTAGGTATTTACTTTACAAGGGAGATATGCACTATCGTTCAGGATTAAGGAACTCTCTTCAGTGAAGACAGAAAAACAAAATTTCAACGGATTTGAAGGAAATAGCCATAAGAAGTGAGTTATTCTGAACATTTTTTTACACAATCCATATAAATTCTTTATTAATCAAGTCCGAAAAAAACTTAACCGAATGACAAATGAGATTTTGCTTTTTTCGAAGGTTTTAGTGAGACACTTAGGTCAAAATATGTCTCATTTAGTATTCAGGTATTAATGTTTAGCCATGTCAAGAACCTAATAGGAAGTAAAGTAGAGGAGTTTGAAAATTTTATGCAGGTAGAATAGAGCTAGCAATGGAAGACATCACTAAGTATAATAAAAACTTAATTTTTTTATGAAATATATTTTTATATTTTGTCAAATTGAAAACGAGCAAATTTTATGCATATTTAAACTAGAATACCGTCATATAAATATAAAATGAATTAAGAGCTCAAGACTTTTACGGGTACTTCGCTTCTCCTACCAGAAGTATTTATTTCCATTATCCAAATAAAAAGGCTGAGTATACAAGAAAAGTATACAATGAGACCAGAGGCAATTGAGTACTCTTAACCTCAACCCCTACAAATGCCGTCTCACGAATTTGCACATAGCTTTAATATACATATTTACTGACGTGGGTATTTAAGTGTGTATATGTGTGGCACCCAAAATTAATGCTCCCTGCTCCTTCTTAATGTGCTCGGCATTTAAAGTGTTTGTTTGTGTGTTTGCAAAATGCGCGTCAAGTGGCAAATTACCTTTTGGCAAAAACGAAATTTTGTTGGACAAAGGGTTTGTTTGTTATTCAGCTGGTCTTTTCTGTTTTCACTTACACTTTCAGACTGCCGCCTTTGTTTTGGATTTGTTTACTTATTTGTATTCAATATAAGCACAAATAAGCATACATTTATTTACTGTTGTGTCTATATTAAAATAATACAGATATTTACTAGTCACTGCTTACTCACACTCACATGTCTGCATATAGCAGAAGCATCTAGTATAAGTTGACATAGATGGAGAATGTACATATTATATACATTATAAAAATTCAAATATACATATAAATGAAAAACAGAGCTTAGGGCTTTACCATATCGTATGAAAATGGCGGAGGTGATACCACTACCCGTGGAGACAGAGAGGAAATTTAAGCCGCTTTCAATACTGGAGCTTACATTTAAGGCTTCTGCTTCAAGAAGTTTAAATTATTTTTTGGTATTTGTTGCAACTCTTTATTTGTGATTATAAAAAAATATTTGCTATACCCAAACTGCTCATAAATGCTATATTTAAAGCTAAAAATTGGGAACAAGCTCCTACAGAAAGTTTCGTGGTAGTTTGTCTGGAAAATAGATATTTCAGCCGTATTGTTCAATTTTAAGTAGGAACACAACTTGCATCTGCAATTTAATTTTAAGAGAAAAGCAGAGAGTATTCAAAAAATTCTTCCTCAGTTGAATAATATTTTTTATGTGACGTCCTTTGCATATTTTTAACCTATCCGGTAATCGCGATAAGCGGGTTATTCCTGCACTTCTTTTTACGACGCCTTAATTCCATATTTATAGTCCTTTTATGCAGGCACGACATGAGTGAGAACAAGGTTTGCCACCAATTGCTTCAGCTTCCGGGTTGGTCAGGGGGTAGAGAGTGGAAAATGTTTTTCGGGACATAAACGGTGAGAAAAAAAGAGAAAACAAATATTAAATGGTTGATCAAAACGAATAAATACTAAAAATTAAGATTTTATTTACTCATATCTTGTTGGTCTCATATGGCGAGAGCATATTTTGTACAAGTTCTAGATTTGTTATTATTCTTACTTCAATAAATAATTAAAAATTTAGTTAATATTTACTTTTCGAGTTCGATGTGAATCGAAAGCATACCCAGTGTTGCTCCAGACGACGAAGGTTCTTTCTATAATATATAGAATCTATTACATCAAAACTAAAAAACAAAATGTATTTAATTATTATTAAAGCATACGGAAGTGGCAATGTAAGGTTATTTAATATATTTTTTTTATTGCAGCTAACAATAAACACCGAAGTTTATTATACAGTTCAAATATATATAAATATTTGAGGATAAGCCGGAATATATAAATACTAAAAATATTTTTTTGAAACTCTTCATGCTTGCACAAATACCATGCTTATAGCTTTAACACAATATGGACGACGACGAATATTCGTCGCACTCGGCGACGCCGTCTGTGATTAGAACACACGATTGTCTATGAAGATTTACACAATACGCGACTGCGGCGAATTTCGTCTACCATGACGTTTTTTGAGATAGAGCTATATCAAGGAAAGGTTATTTTCAGTAAAAACCTTAAGAATTTTCAAAAAAAATGGAAGAAAATGTCCGCGTTGGTAAATATTAAGATTGTTTATGTTTGGCGGAATACACTCTAGCTGCGACGAAAATCGTTCGTATTGTGTTTTACACGGCGGCAACACTCGGCGAAACTTCGTCCGACGGCGTCACCGAGTACGACGAATATTCGTCGTCGCCTGTATTGTGGTTAAGCTATAACTCGTTAGTTAGTTATATGTTTGTGCGTATGTGTGTGCTTATATAAACACATTTAATCAAAGTTTTGTTTACGCTGGCATTTGTATAGACATCAGCTCAGCTGCGCTCATCCCATTTGCTCACTCTCAATTGAGACACAAATAAACGGTTTAATGGATAACCCAACTCAAAGCGGACGTTCATAATTTCGGCACTTTGCCGTTTGAGTTTGGCGGGACCGGGTGGAAAGATTGGATTAATTTTGCAGATAAACATGCTTTGCCGCATCCTCCACCGGCATTCATAAGAAAATATGTTTGTATGTATGGAATAACAAAAGCGACATGATTACAAAAGAAAATATCCTTCAATAGGATGAACAACAAAACCAACAACCGCAAAAGTAATATTGAACAAACAAACAGCAATCACAGCGTCTGCTATGTTAAATGGCAGGTAAGCAGGCGACTAAGGTAACGTTTAGCAGTTGGGTAACACACTTACCAAGGCACATAAACTGATGTGCATTAATGTGGTTTTGTATTTCAGTAATGCTCTGTAGGAAAAGTTGTTCGGAGTGTTTTTTTTTTTTGTTTGATGAATACTTAAGAAATTAAGAAGAAAATTAAAGGAAGATTTTAAGAAAATATGCAAAAATAAAGAATAATTAAAAATCTTCTAAAATATTAATAAAAAAAAAAGTATTTTAAAAATTATTTTTAATGTGTAATACCCTTATTTGTCTCAGTAAAATAGGCATACTTCAGCATTTAAAATTCATTCAATTAACTACATAAATACTAGGGTGGAGCGAAAATAATTTTTTTTTTTGCTTCGCCTGACGGTAAAATCTTAAGATAATAAAAAAGAAAATTTGTGGTTTTGAAAATGTTTAACATCTAGAGGCGGCCCACTCAGTTTTAAAGTAAATTTTGAGTTAAAATTTCTTTTGAACAAGAAGAAATCTATTTTTGGTTTAAACTCTTTACATTTATATAAAAATTACCGAATCTGGCGGTTTTTGACTCAAAATTTATTTTAATGCTTAAGGAAATCATTCGAAAATTTACTTTAAAACTGAGTGGATTACCATCCTGGAATAAGTTAGCTAAAAAGTTTTCACGCCTTATTTGCATTGACCGCATAAACAATGTATAGTGTGCGAAAATAAGGTACTCAAACGGTAGCTTATCGATTTACATAAATCACTTTTGAGTAAATAGCTGCTTTACACATTTATACCCGTGCACATACAAGTATGTATGTACATGCATATATGTATGTGTACTCAAAAACGCGTGTCCACTTACGTCACTTATTCCCTCACAAAGCAGAGTTCCATCATCGGTCATAATTTCGGACTAACTTAACAAAAAAAATTATAAAATTTAAAACTTCAACTGTTGAAAAAATTCGATTACTTTT